GTATGCTGTTAGTGAGTGAGCTTCACACTGGCTTGTGTACAAAATACTGTGCCTGGGGACTGCAGAGGTGTGAAGAAACATGCACGTTTCCATGGAGTTCAATCAAATGAATGAGAGCTCAGTGCAGGAACAAAAATAATCTGATTACTCATGGGTTTTATATATCCATTATCTTAAAAAGTAGTTTTCTTTTCCCTTCCATGAAGTACAAAAGCTGTATTTGCTGTTGGGTAGGTACAGTCATAGCAACCACCACAATGTGAAATCCGAGGAAGGGAGGAATCATAACCTTGATAGAGCTACTCTGGCATTACTGTAATAGGTGGGTACTGTGTGCGGTACTTGCACCACAGCTGCTTATGACAAGGAAGTGATTAACAGAATGCTTGGAAACCTGTTATGATTGCTTAACGTATATAACTTTTTCAACCTATGTGCTCTTTTAAGCTCAGAAGTGGTGAAAATATGGAGTCAACTCAGATATCATTGTTCTAGGTTAAAGGAAAGTTGTGGGGAACTCTCTGGAGCTGGTTTTCCTAGTGGGGAAAAATCTTGTCTTCTTTCTTGTGGTTATTTTATTTCATCCTTAATGAAAGCCCAAGCCATGGCCTCCTCTGGCAGATAAGGGCTGTGCTACCTGATACCATAAGTCAAGCTCTGCTTTTCAGATTGTTCCCCTGACAACCATGAGCTATCACGACAGATGGGGATAATTCAGCTTATTTCTTGAGCATAAGACATATTCCCAGAGAGAGGGACCACTTGGGCTAGGTGATTCTGGGAGATGGGAATTCTTGTTCCACTTGGACATGATCTAGTAAAGGGTATTGCCTTATTTTTGCATCCTCTTGCACGTAGAGTAGTGTTTAAGTCTTTTGGCCTATTGTCGTGCACCTCTTTCACAATGAGTAAATATCACTGACCTCTGTAACAGATGTATCACACATTTAATATTTGCTAAGTGATTTAAATTCATTACACTAGAAATGTTGACTTGAGAGGTTCCAAGCTTGTAGATGACTCAAACTGTGTCTGTACAATAAGGGTTTTAGCATAAGTTCCATCCAAGGTTAGCGTACCATACTGCAGCTGTTCTGCTTCTAGACACTACAAATTCTGTGCTTATAAGAAGTCATGCAACTGTCATACTATGTTCCAAATACAAGTCTATTTTAATTTATTTTCCTTTTTAGGAAGTTTTCTAACTACTCACCCACTGTATGCTTTCATATCAGTGAGCTGAAACATTAACACAAATATGCAAGGGACGATTTTAAATTTGGAGTGCAAATATAAATGCATCTGTTCATATAGTAGCAAGCTCTCACACTCCAGTGTCCACTGAAAAAGCTAGATGCTTCATATGTGTCATCATGTCAAAAACTAATCTCTATTTCTTCTGGGGCATGAGCAAGTCACTATTTCTTCTGAGAAGTCCCATTTTGCTGTGGTCAGTATCCATCAGAAGCTGGCATGCTTCCTGGGATATGTGCCAGCGGGGCTGTAGTTTCAAGCTGTAGCAACAGCATTACTGACCAATGCCTCAGCCAAATGCAGAGCTGCTGATATTACTCTCAGTAGATGAGCTTTCTAATAAAAGCTGTGTCAGCTTTTTGTTGTCAAGATCACCAGAAGTTTTGCCAACATCAATATTGAACAATTTCCTTGTGGCTTGCAGTAATGAAGGGATTTCTCTCTGAACCAAGTGCAAATGTAAGAACATAATCCATTTAACAGAGAACTCCCCAGGAAGGTCATGTTATCTGTTTTGCTGCATGCTAACCAAGCTTCAGCAGGATGATTCAGCTCCAGCTAAACTGTTCTAACTAAATCAGGTTGTTTCTTAACAGTTTTAGAAACTTTATTACACTCACATAGCTAGCCCATGGATTTAGGGAGTTTATCAGTAAATACAGAATATCAGAATGATTTATTTGGACATTGCAGGATCTGGTAGAATGTTCTCACCAGAAACTGAGATCCTGAGTAAGATTTATGTGGAGAATTATAGTCTGATGCTTAAGGGCCACTGAACCTTTGCTTAACTTTCAGATGTGAATAAAGTTACTTACATTCTTGCTAATGAGCTTTGATGCAGAGACATCAAAGCAAATATTGTCGTGTACATCTGAAGGATTTACAAACTAAACTTGTCACCAGCCTCTCTTGCTCATGAGATGTACTCAGACGTTCCCTGAACACATTGGTCTGCTGGGTTGTACACTGTGCAGAGATCACAGATATCCTTGTTTTCCCTCATATTCAAGAACCCAGTGATTAGAGAATGCTCTTATTTGTGAGATTGACGGAGAATTGGTTTGCTTTTTTTTCCCTTGTGTCTCATCTTAAAGACTAACTTGTTTGGAGCAACAGGGGTTCTTCAGGTCAGAACTGGGATAGAAACTTTACTTTTAAAAGCCACATATTTCTGAAATAAGGTCTACAGAGTGCCTGTCTGCTGCAAAGAAAATCTGTCCATATTGGAAGGCAAGGCACGTGCTTAACTAGCATTAACCTAGGGCTGGAGAAATAGAAAAATCACTCATGCAACAGTAATGGGAGAAAGTTCAAATAATACTTTAAATTCTGCTGTAAACCCTTCTGATTTCTCAAATGTAATGCTAATCAGGTTATTTTCCACTCTGTTCATGTTAAACTTTATCAATGGCCATTTCAGATGACTGATAAGAGATGACTTAGAGCTTCTTATAAACCGAGGCTTGAAAGCATGGATGCCTTAATTAGGTTGTCTAATTGAATGAAATAATATTGGCCACATCACAATTGTTACCTGGATAAAACTAGCACTTTCACTGATGCAGTGTGCCCATTCACCAGTTTTGAGTTGATGAGGGAAATTAAACCTGGTGGCACTGTCAAGAAGCCAGTTGGATATCACTATGATAAGGTACCAGGCCTTCATTCTTACAGGATATTCTGAGGCATCCTATCTTGCTCTATCTTTTTGAAACTATTAATTGAGTATTAAATACTTAAAGTCTAGTTGGTCAGAGAGAGACAGCAGAATGAGTTTATGTCCCTGATTACTGGTGTGAAGCTCTGTTCCAAGTCTGAAGGGGGACTGGGTGTGAGGGGACGTCTCACTTCATGGATACATATACTGTTTGAAGTCTGCTTTTTTTTGCAAGAGACTCATTTGACATAGGCAGCCAATGTCATAAGAGAATTTACATCTGTTACTACTCCAGAACATTCCAAACTCCCCAAATGCCATAAAACCAGACACCATGGTGCCGATCATTAAAACAATGTGGGGATGAGGCACTACCCAATACGAGGTAATTAAGTGACATCAAATTGTGTTTGTGTTATTTATCTTGTTTTCCAGTGGGGTTGAGATGGCTGAGTGCAATAAAATGGCTTTGTCTGTTCAAAGTAGAAGTTTATACAGACATAGGAACACCAGTAATTTTCCAGCTGAGAAACATGAGATTAAACTGGTTTTGTGACTTCTGGTGTAGTAGCTACTAATTTTGCATGGAGTGAAACAACACAGAGGATCAGTGCAGAACAACCATTGTGGTTTTGGTTTGTTTAAATTTTATTGTGTGCTGTTTGCAGGTCTTTGTGTGTAATTTAAAGTAGCACTTCAGGGCATCGTGAGAAATCAGTGGCTGATGTCCCTGACCCAAGGCAGACTCACGTGTCAGGGATGGTTTAGATAGTTACATAACTGTCCCTGTAAATCTCCAGTGTGGAGATTTCACAGCCTCCTTAAGTGATGTGTTTCACTGCTTGTCTACTCCAACCACCAGAAAGATTTTCCTTGTGTCAGACTTTCTCCTGTTGCAATTTTGATCATGTTACTCTTCTCACTGACCATAGGAAGGCTTTTTTTCTTTCCTCTGTATAAAATATTGTAATTTTTCTTCATGGTCTTTTCTAGACTGGATAAGCCTGATTCTTTCATGAATTTCATCAGAAATCTGAAAGACTTCTACTACATTCACATTAGTCTAAATTGTTCTTAACTACAGTACTCAAATCAACATAACCATATGAAAGATGGCTATCAAAACCAAGAGCAAGAGAGAAAGCTGCACAAGCAGGTATATTGTTAGAAGCCGATACATTTGACATATGAAAAATAACAGAACCATCTTTTAGTTTTGATTTCACAAGCAGCACTTCTTGTGTAAAAAAAAGTTATCTGGAGGTAAGCTGTCTTTCCAGCCACACCATACTGCATCAAAACCACTTAATTAATTTGTTGTTTACAAAGAACACTGTGTGAAAGCCAGGATTTATAAATATGTTAGTGTTGGTAAATCTTTGTATTAACCCCCAAGCTTCCCTAGACCATCAGCTTTCTACTAGGTTAAAATTCTATTCCTTGAAATGTGCATAACACAGAAAAAAGGCTACTGAAATTGTAAACCTGAAGTGCTTGAAATAGTTGAAACATTGCTATTGCTTCCCGCCTTACAAAGAACTAAATTTACAGCTTCACCACTAAGATGAGCTCATTAGGCACAGGCTTCTTTCCTACATATAACTAGAGAGAGGAGCAGCAACCTTTTTTCTTCTTTGTATACTTTAAGACTAAATAAAATAATTTTCTGTTTTCAGGGCCTTAGCTTCTGAAGAATGGAAAAAAAGCAGTGATATGAGCTGCATACTTTACAGAATGCAAGTTTTATAGTTGGTTTTAATTACATGTAAGTGATGACAATAGTATTTGTGGTTCTTGTTTCAAAACAGGCATTTTCTATTCACTAGAATGTCATTTTAATATTGTTTAATATATACCACACTATGATCTATAAATTTATCAGCAAGGGGTTTTTTTTTTGTGCTTAGGTGTAATATTTAGCAGGTAGGACTAAATCCACTGTTAAAGTTCAGAAAAGGTTCTGGAGTGAACAAAACTTTTTAAAGGTTATCACATTATCAGCTTTCTGAGTCTCGCACTACAGTGCCAGCTTCTAATGAGAAAGTGTTTCATGCTAATTTAAGAAAGTCTCAGAACTACTGAAGAGTGCTGACCCACAGTAGGCAAATTTATTTCATCTATAATACATAAAAGATCAGGATTTCCTTTTGGAGAAACTATGCTGAGTGTGCAACTGGGAACAGAATACTAGCTGATTAAGGTGTTGTTAAAAGACAACTAACTTAAACTTTCAAAAGTAGTTTAATTAGAGATTAAAATTATTGGGGTTCAATGAAAAGCATAGTTATTATCCTGAACTAAAAGATCTTTAGAAAGACCATGAAATGATGACAATTTCGCACAGCAAAACCTTGAGATTCTGAAGCATTATTTCTGTTTTATTCGTTAGTTCATTATATCTTTGGTCAGAAAGCCTGTTGCTAACACTTGAGCAAATTGTCAAATACAAAGATTAGCCTGAGAATGGTCAGTGAAATTGAAAACTGGATAAAGTGGCTAATATAATAAATTTGGCAAAGAGAGTGGCTAATATAGTAAATTTGGCACAGATATTTCAGATATAAAGATAATAGCTTTTAACATTGGCTTTCTGTCTTACAAACACTGGATTTAATCAATAATAGTATCACTTGTTACTATAAGTTATTGAAAATAACTTGGAAAACACACTCATATTTAAGAAAAAGGTTTAACCATCAAAGATTAAGGTGAACATTACAGGGTAAATGCACACAGCTTTGCAGCAAAGCATGATGTGAAAAGCTGATACTAGCTAGCAATCGGAATCAGTATGCCAGAGAAGGATGGACCTTGGGTGTTTGACTTTCCTCAGCAAACCACAAACATGTAAAAGAAGCAAATTTATTCTCAACTAGTGTATCTTTGTAAAATTTCTTCATTTTAATAATTTCCACAAAAGGAACCTCTTTTGGGACTTCACTACACATGCAAGGACCAAAACACTGGAAACAGATTCAGGTTTACAGCAGGTGCTAGAGAAAAATAGTACTGCAATTCCAAATCCATAAGGGAATTTTTTTGCCAGTTTCTAATTTGTTGCCAGAATTACTAACTTTGTTTCCTGTAGTAATATCAAAATACAGTGACACTTCAAATCCACTAGGGCAATTTATAATAACTACAGTTTGGGACATTTGTCAAATATAAGATTGAATAACTGAAATTTCTCAACTTTAATCTCTAAAATACAGAAGTACAAACAAGTTTAATTCAGCATAATTTTATATCCAAACTTCAAAAATGGCCTCTGACATCGTCTGAAACATAAGCTTTTCAGCACCAACAAAGTTTGTATTTGCTAGGAAGTTTTTTTTTTTGAGAAGAGTTTAAACCTTGGTCAGAATTTTAGTCACCACTGATTGTGGTTCAGGAAAATAAGCTACTTATGACCGATGTTTTCAACATGAATCTTAAGCAGCAAATATCTAACAAGACCCTCCTGAGTTTTTATCTATCAAGATGATATTTCACATGTATATGGTTTATGTCTATATATACTATACACACTACACATACATACACACAGCATGTATACATAAATATATATATAGTGCACCTACGAGGGCCAAAAATCTTTTGCAGCTATTCTTGTTAGTTCAGGTACAAGCACAATCATCAGGATTCACCAACCAAGAACTGGATATGCCAAACGTTAAAATAAAGCCTGACACAATACCTGTGCTTTTACTGTTCTTATATTTAATAGTGCAAAAAAAAAAAAAAAAAAAAAAAGTCAGTAGTTTACTATTTAAGATATTCCTAATTCTAAAAATATTTCCATTTGAAACCAAAAGTGCAATAACTGTTTTTTTTCCAAAAACTTCAGGCAAAATATTTGAGGCTAAATTATTATCCTCTTAATAATGTTTCTGTAGAACTGAATGATGAAATGAGCAATACTTTCTAGAACCTTAAGAATAAAGCTTTGAAAGATCTCTTGCTGAGCATATTGGCAGCATGTGTAAAGCAAATATAGTAAGTCCATTTGGAGCTCAAGCCGTACAGAAGTCAATATGTGCTAGCAATTCTCTGTGCTGGCTTGTTGGATACAGCGCTTTACATCTGGGACACTCGAGAAAACTTTCATCAAGGAGGCTTGAATGTTTCGGGGAAGGACTTCTGTCATACGTGGTCAGCTTCTCGTCAAACAGGGCTTGCAGTTCTTCTTGTCGTTCCACACGTCCAGATTCCCGGAGTTTCTGGAAAAGGAGGAGGTTTAGTGTAAGACTGGTGCACACATGCCCTGATCAAATACTGTAGGAAAAAACATTAAGGCTTGATGGCACACAAGCCTTGTGTGTGTTACAGCACTAAGGATTGTGTCTTGCTCACCGGCAGCAAGTCTGAGCAGAAGCCTGATGGAGCTTTGTCACTGTGCAACAGACAAAACTAGGGAACACATTCTGATACAAAACACAGTTGTGTTCCCAGGAACCTGACTATCCTACATCTCCTGCTGCAGCACTGCAGGAAAAGCAGTGCCTGGCTAGCTGGCTGTCATAGGGTTCTGCTCCTTGGGACCACATACCTGAAGGATGTAAGGACAGTTACTCAGTACAGTTGAAATAAGATCCCAAAGTGAGAAGATGTATGTTTAGCACAATCCCTGACTGAATTCACCTGCAAGTTACTCAGTACATACCAGAGGTTCCAGACGGGATATTTGCTCCCTGGCCTTGCGCAGTTCCTTGAGGACTTTGTTTAACTGATGCTCCAAGTTCTGGCGATCAACCTTTCCATTCTCTAAGTCTGTGGTGCATGTCTGGATCTGGCAGCCCCCAAAGTGAAAAACAAAGAATTTAAGTCAGAATTATTAAGAATGGGGAGGAATATTTCCCATTTATGTGTTTAAAGTCAGTTTTGCCCTGCAATCATATCCTAAAATGGGATTAAAAGGAAAATGAAAAAAAAAAATTAAAAATCACTTGTTGCTTTATCAAAAATATACTACAAAACTTCAACGAACTGATTGGTTTAAGGATGTTTCCTGCACCTTATCTGGGGCTGTAACTGTTGAACAAGTGATTGTGGAGAAAATAATATCAGGTTTGATCACACTCATTAATAAAAGGATGCGGATTTTCCTCTTGGCAGATGTGTCAAAATTTTTAGAAGCATCAAGAGATTATTCACAGTTGAATATCCATGGCTAGTATTGCTTTATTTAATATACTAATAATTTTTAAATTTGAAGTTAGTCTAGAAAGACTTTATGTATAATAGAGATTAGGATATAAACATCTTAGCATATAATTGGGTACCTGTTGTTCCAACAAAGCTATCCTTGTGTGCTCCTCTTTCTGTTTGAGCAATGATTTATGAAGAAGTTGCACCTATAAGGCAGAGGAACACTTGTAACAAACAACTTTCATATACAATAGTTAATAAGCTTGAAAAAATGATGAAGCTAGAGTGGGATGGAAGTAAACTTTTACATTCCCACACCAACAGAAAATGTATGCCTGTTATGCAACAGCCAAACCCAATCCAAATATCTCTACTTCCCTGAGGAATTTTCCCACAGAAAATTCATTATTGCACAGAGCAAGGGGAATGCAGGATGATGTTATTGTTAAAAAAAGAAACACAAAACTGAAATTTCCTAGGTAATTGCCAGGATGCCGACAAAACTTACACACAAAACCTACGTTTGTACTAACACGACACAATGCTAACAGTATCAAACAATGCAAATTCGTTTTTTTATAATAGAAGAGAACAAGTTTAAGGCTCAGAAAGTACTATACTGTAATGATTAAGTAATTGCATACATTAAAATATCCTACGCTTTCAGCCTGTATCAACTTTTATAATAATGGTGCTGTTCTGCTTCAAAAAATAAACATCTTTTAATCATTATTAACCAGTGAGAACCACCCTGTGTTTAGAGGGCTGAACTACTGATCTGGTTTTAGTCTACTTTAGTGTCTAGAAAATTTTATTCTCTTATTTCAAATTTCAGTTCTACATTGCTTTATTATTGACCCCAGAATTCTAGTAGCAAGTCTATCTTATTTAAATGCCCTGAGGTCTGTCCTTCAAGGACAACTTTCCAGTTTCTCTTCAGCAGATATGTGGTCATGATTTCATGTCCAGAAGAAGAAACAATAGATTTTTTTTTCTTTTGGTTAGTGCCACCATGCTGACAGGTATATCCCAAGACACCGCTGTAATTCTCTATGTAGCAGAAGTGGCACACTCCTCACGAGTATTTCATACAAAGGAAGGTAAGCACTGAGTATTTTTAAAGACAAACACACAGCACATTCATGTCTTCCCCCAGCTTAGGGTCCATCCCTTGCCTTGCTATCTGTCCCTTGCTTTCTAGTACTCAGGGGTACTTGCAGAGTTCTTATCCATCCTATAGAGAATCAAATGCAGGAACTCATTTGAATGGAAAAGCAAAGGAAAAAAAAAATCCAGCTGCATGGCTACAGTGTTTGGCTGAGGGCACTATCCAGAGGCACAGCTGCTTATTCAGTAAGTATGAAACTACAAGCCCATGTGTGCATTGTAGCTGCCAGGTGACAGCAAGTATCAATGATATTCCATAGTCAGGGGCACAGGATAAAATTAATTTTCACCTTTTCTATCCTCATTTACTATTAGCCTTGAGGATGAAGAATATATTAGAATCAATTCAGTATTTTCTCACTTCTCCCTCATGTCCCACAAGACTAGGGAAATAAGTGAACAAAGAAGTTCCTTGTTTAGACAACTCAGTTTTAAGCACAAGGTCATAAGTCTAGATCTATGGAAAGAACGGTTATTAGAGTGAGTGATGGGCCATTCTGATTAAGTATGACTTTTCATCTCTCTTGATTTTTTGAAATTATCTCAAACCTCTAAATGCATCCACTTACCTTACAAGAAAGATCTTCAGCTTTTTTTTTTCCTTCTCTGAGCTTTTCTCTGAGAGTTTCATTATCCTGTTTTAGTTTTTGCACTTTCTCTTTCATTTTATTTTCATTTTCTTGAGCCTTCACATCAGCAACCTGCTGCGACTGCAATAATGCATTTAAACTCATTATTTCTCCTTGTGCTTCTTCATATTTCTTTTTGAATTCATTAAGTTCAGATCTCAGCTGGGTTACAGTGCATCTTTCAGTCTCAAGATGTCTCTTAGCAGTTAGTAGCAGCTGGTCATAGTATTCTTGCTTTTCCTCTTGCAGATGACCTTAATGAGTCAGAAAAAATTGAGTTAATAATGTGGAAAAAAACCCACTTAAAAAGCAGAGCACTAAATCCTTAAGCATTTTAAGGCTTATTAATAGAAATTGACATAGTAGGCTATTACACAGGCCAGATTAGGACCAAACTTTAGTTAAAACGTCTTTCAATATTTATAATGCATAAAGTCTCCTTAACAATATAGTTACTGGAAAATTACAACCTGGCTTGTGCATAATATTCTGTGCTACAGCTTCTTCCATCACTAACCCTTGTAGCAATATCACATCCTTTGCCCCATCTACACAAGCTCCATGACCCACACAGTTCTTACATGGCCTTATGCATTATACTGACACGTGGGAATCTGACCCAAAGGCACTAGATTCTTACTTCCATTTTTAGCCTCCTTAGCATTACTCCTTCCCCAGAGATACCCTGGGGATCTGATAAACTCTATTTCACCTTTGTTGACCAAACTCAGGCCATCCACTGTCTTTTGTAGACCATCTTCTTCAAATTGTATGTCATAATTTACTTCTAAATGGCAAATAGAAAGAACTGGGGTAGTTCTTTTGCTAAAAAACCCCAACTGCTTCTTGGCTAGTGACTATTACTTAAACCACGGTTTGAAAAATTTCTGCTTATTGACACAAGAAAAGTTTAGTAAGTAGGAAAAAATTAAGAGGCTTGCAGTAATACAGTCAGTAGTAATACAAAATAGAAGAACAAGGAATGAAAAATGTCATGAGATTTGCTGATTTTTGGCACTGTTTGATACTGTTATGACTGAAGACTTATCCTATTTCTTCAAAGTGTAATTTACCAGGAGAGTTTCTAACTTGACTGTTCTCCCTTCCCTCAGCTACGAACTACGCCTTATCTTCTCAAAAGCAATACTCCTTTATAGGGTGGTGACGTCCTCAGAGACAGACAAGATTTTCCTTGGAAAAAGTTGTCATCTCTACTTTCAACTTGCATAGGTAGGTTCTTAGAAACCTGGATTTCTGCTACTGTCTAGCTGCTTGAAGGGAGGAACCTTCTTACATCCTAACTCCTGGTCTCCTGGCTGCTCTGATGACAAAGCTTTGACTGCAGGAACTCTTGAGTTACATTTCCTGGTGAGCTACTACTTCAGTCTGTCTTCATCTAAAAATACTGTTCAGTGATTTCTGAACAGAATCAAAACAAGATTATGATGATATTTTACTGTTTTCCATAAAGATTCAAACAATACAGAAACCAAGCCACTGCATGTGAGTTATTGTGGCAAGTCTGTGGGTATGCTCTTAATGAATCTTAATTAATCTCCACATTTAATGAATTTACCTTGTGGGTCACTTGCAGCATATATGAAATAATAGTTTGATAATAAGTAAAGCAAGTCAACACCTTCTGGTTCTTCTCAATGTGATTTTAATTCTATTAATACTGAGAGGGTGTGCCTTACTGAGGAACTGCACAGCAAGGAAGTGTGAGCTGGAGGTGGCCAGATCCATATTGCGAAACACTGTTTTGGAGAGGTGCCAAAACCTATCACAGGTTTTCATGCCCTGTAACAACTGTTGAGGTGAGTAAAGAACGTGGCAATCTTGAGTCATTTTTATAATATTTATTTTGAAAAAAGTAAATTTTAAAAAATCTGATCCACACCTAGCTAATAAATCCTTAATGCTTCCATTATGTCTGTTGAAAGTGTACTTAGAAGGATGGGAGACACCTATTTGCCTCAACACTTTCAGCAAACAGAGAGGTTGCTAATAGAGTGTCAGGGCTGTTAAAAACCATCTTTGAAGTGGATAAGAACATGAAGTACTGTCGGTAAGTAACACAGATAACAGGAAGCAAAGAAATATTACTTAACCAAGTTTTACCATTAAGCAGACAAAGCACTGAAAACAAAGTCTTGATTTTGATTAATTGTGCCATCACATGTTTTCAGAAAATTTATTCTATAGATAATTATGGTTTGGGTCACTTGTGGGGAAAAAATAAAGTCAATACCTTCTGAACTGAATCCTTTAGATTCTTGTTGGCTAACTATTTCTGACTTCTGTTCAAGTTCAAAGATCCTTCCAAGCAATCCCCTGACATATGCTTCCCGTTGCTGGTCATACAGTAGCCACTGTTGGTTTTTCTCAAGAGCCTTCAAGAAAATAAACAGAAGAACAAAAAAAGTTTCTGGTAATTTATCCGATTTTAAAAGTATTTGTCTTATTTCTTAAAAATGCTAGAAGTTGTATATTGTACAGTTTAAAGATAAGCTATGTCTGCTGCAAATTGTAGGAATCTCTGTACAATAAATAAATCCATCTTCATTTGGAAATATATATAAGTCAGGATGCTGAACATAAGTTAAAACTGCAGCAATATTATTGGATTATAATTGGATTACTTCTTGGAATGGGAAAATGAGTTAAAGAACAAAGGCTTTCTTGAGTCACATGCCTAGATTATGAAAAATTAACTTTTCAACCTTGAATATAAAATAAAACATAAAATAACAGACCTTGAAAATGGAACTTAGAGTTTCTAAGAACTAGGACATGGATTTTTTTAGCCAGTTGGATCACAGAATTATTCAGCTTGGAAGGGACCTCAGGAGGTTTCTGATCCAGCTTCATGCTACTCCAAGCAGTGCCAGACCAGGTTCCTCAAGGCTGCTGATTTGTCAGTAACCCCTTTGTTCTGATCTTCTGAGCAAGGTTTTTCAAAGATGATGGAAATCTTATCTCAGTTTTTTTATTCTGCAAGTTTTTGGGTTTCTTTGAATTTAAATTATTGTCTTACCATGAAATGATTTAAGATATCATATTTTGGAGGGAAACATACCCTCTGAGGTTCCATACTACCAAAAATGTATACGATGATAATTCTTATGTATCACAATGCAGATGACATGTACTTGCAATGTTGTACAGGAAACTTACATCTTTCAGTTGTCTTTCAACTTCGGTGCTGTTTGTTACAGCTTCCTGCAGACAAAGAACAACCTGTTAGCATTGTTTAAAACAGATGGCTGAAAGAGCAAAGCTACTCCTATATAACTATTAATTTCACATAAACACATGTGCCTTTCGTGTTTAAAGATCTTTAGAGCTGGTTGTTGTTTTTTTCTTAAAGGATCTAAGTTATGTAGAAAACCATTTCATATATTTAAAACAGACTGTTCAGAAAGAGATGGGAGAAAGATTTACATTTAATTTATTCCATAACTCTGCAACTCATAGTTACATTAGAACATTTCCTAAGAAGATCATCATGTGTTTTCTGTTGAACTGCACTCTTGGAAGACCTGAAGGGTGTTCTCCAAAGAGCTTTTGAAATAAAGATATTTAGGATATTTTTTAAGTACACAAAAAAAATGCTTGTTCTATTTTTGTATCCTCATACGTTTGACAATACACCAGACCTACAGGAGTTATTGGGGGAAAGCTACAGAGACCTTGAAAGCTTCTTTGGGGTAACAGGAAGATTGTTAACATCTGGGAAGTCAGGCAAGCCTGTCTGGAACAGTAAGGACAAACTGCCTGATTTTTTTGAGACCTGATCCACAGTACAGTGCTTGAAGTATGAGTCAGAGAGTTCTTTAGACCCATCTAAATCTAGAGAGCAGGTAAACAGTTACATTTCTTCCATAATTTGACATTTTTATTCTCTGCATGATAGAATGAATTTGTGAAATTGTGTAGATGTAAGTCGGAGGGAACTTCAATAAGAAAAAAATAGATTGCTACCCAAATCCAAACAACATTTTTCCTACGGGTTTTCCTATGGGTTTTGGAACACAATTTACAACAAATTATATAACTGAAAAATACAGAGAAGCTTTGAATGCAATCATTAAACTTCAGCACTTCCTCATAAAAATAGGATTTAAAGACACTGCAATTGTTTATATGAACGTTTGAATCCTGCCGCAGTGAAAACTGTCATACAACTGTTGTTTCTATTTCAGAGCTCACATGCCACCTAGCAGTTTCAAGCGGCACTGCTAGACTTGTTTTCAAGTTTTCCATGACATCCAGTCAAAATATCAGTCATATTTGTTGTCTTCTGTTGATAGATCAGTTAAGATTTTAAGAGAATTACGGTTTTAGAGTAATAGGTGTTTTTGTAGTTTATTATAGAAAATATCAGAAAATCTGTTGACTTTACATACATTTTAAATTCTCTAACTCAGTTCAACGTCTCTTAAAATTGAAAATAAATACATTGTATTTAAAGTGGTATTTACTAATATACTTCATTAGTAGAAGTGATATATATATACATGTATTATCATTCAAAAGTGGTAGATTAAGATTTTTTGTTATGTATTTGGCTAAAGCAGAATTTCTAGAAATTGCTCAAGTTCCTTGTAGAGCAGAGGGAACCAGCACCATCTGCAGGTGCAGATTGAATGCACTTGTAAATGCTGCCAAGGATTGGCATCATACCTACTGACCACTTAGCATGAGAGGAGAAACTCCCTGTTCCTGTCCTGTCTTGTGTCTCAGTGAAGTATTTACTGCATGTGATGCCATAGAAAGTACAATTAGTTTTAACAACAGAGACAAATGAGGATCCATAAGAGCAGAGAAGAGAAAGATACTCTCATGACTGAAGCTGAATTAGGTGAGGAGCTTAGTTTGCCATCATTAGTGCCCCACATCTCCATTACTGCTGCCTTCTCAGTCTGTCTAATCACTGAACACGCAATCCAAGAAGGGCATACCATCTGCTTAAGCCACAGTGATCATTACATGTAGTACACCAGTCAAACTACCCATGTGAGCTTGAACAAGGGACCTTTCAGTACAGCATGAGAGACTTCCCTCCCCAGCTGTGTTGCCTGAAGTTGTGCTCCCTGACTGTTCTTCATTTAGCATTCTATTTGGATATCATCTCTCTACATACAAGAATATTTCAGAATGCAATGCAGTTTATAAGAAAATTAAAAACCCATCCTATTTTATAACAAGTATTGGTGCTTAGTGAGCACAAATTCCAATTTGCAACTACAGCATTTCTTTAGTGCTTACCTGGGATGCCTGAGAAGTGCTACTGGCTTTGTTCTCCAGATCAGAGCACTTTGCCATGACCGCAGATAAATTACATTTTAACCGGTTAATTTCTTCTGATAGAGAACAAAGTAACTGTTCTCTCCTTTCTGCTTCCTTTGTTTTTTCCTCTAGTTGATTTTGTAGTAAGGAGACTTCACTATTCTTGGTTTTGGACTTAAGCTTGTCTCTCAGGTTTTGGATTTCCCTGTCCTTCTCTCCAACAAGATGGTTGTGTTTTTCTTTTTCTTTTTCAAGGGAATGTATTCTCTAAATGAAACAGAATAAAAAGGTGACACAAATGAATAAGTTAGTCTATGCAACAAATACATGAGCAAGTTTACAATAGCTTGAGTGATCTGAGCAACCAAGTCTAGTGGAAGGTGTCCCAGCTCACGTCAGGAAGGTTGGAACTAGATGATCTTTAAGGTCTCTTCCAACCCAACCCATTCTATGATATTCACTTTCAAAGATTCTCTGTTAGCCTTTATTTAGCTGAGAATATTATTTTTTACTCCAAACGGACAATACTAGCACAATCATCTGAAATATTTCAAGTGATAGCAAAATGAGTAGATGAAGTAGATGAAACAGGGAAAGAATGCAAAGAACCAAATTTCCCAGGCTTGGTAGGTACTCAGTTTTGTATCTGAATATAGATCACTACAGCATATGAACCTTCAAACACAAGCAGTACAAGAACTTCAAAACACTTCCAGTGAAGACAGTGATACATTTCTTCGCTTATTTCTCAGCATGTTTAGTAGCTTTTGGGAAGCAGCAGAGCCTTCTTGCAAACTACATGACAGTAAGTGAGGTTACAAAAGTTATAATAAAGCATTCAGGTGAAGGATCCCATTTTCCACATTATCTGGACCATTAGCTTCAAAATGTGCTTTAGTAGATATTTTCAATAGGCACTCTTTTTTCACTAGGCCTCCAGCACAGGTAATTATTACACAGAATTAGTACTGCATTTAAGATACCTTGAGGCTTTCCATAAACTTCTGATGCGAGAGCATTTAATTTTTAGTGACAAAGGCCAATCCTGAAATCTTACATGTTGACAAGTCATTAGAAGATGGCAAAAAACCTGAAAGAAATTGAATTTTCTGGAATTGGTTGAACACCACAGAGCACTCACTAAAATTAAAATATTGACACCAAAGAGTACTTGGTACATCTAAACATGGGTGTGATTTTCCACCTGTAAACTAGGAACTTAGTATTAAGTAACCAACAATGAGCAAGTAGCAAATGCTAACAGGCACAGCAAATACACTAAGGAATTTAGCCACAACTGTACATGAGCTGCCCAGCCATAGCTGATACTTGGCTTAGGATTTCTCAACTGACATTGTGGCACAGACACAAGAAAAGCCTTTCTGCCAAAAGAAATGGCCTTGAAATATTAGTGTGCCCAGTATGCATTAGTTGTATCCTTTGAAAGAGTCTACCTAAAGTTTTGCAGTCCTTCTGGGAAGCTTGACAGTATGTGACCAAGTTACACACTAAGTCTGGAACTTCTCTCTCTGCAACCACAGGTTTACCTTGGGTGGAATTTGCAGTGTCTTAGTTTCTGCTCTTTGGTTGCAGTGGAAGAATGTAGGGACCTGACTACAGTGTTATTTACCTATAACCGAGGGGGAGTTTGACAATTCAATTCAAGCAAACACCCAGCACTTTTTGGCATGTTCTTAGGCAAATGTTTGCAAACATAATATGCTTTGCAGAAAGTGCTTAAAATAATTCTCTGAGACCTGTTGGACACGAGAGGACAGGTCTGGCACCTCTGGCCTCAAGTCTTTGTATCCAGCAGCCTTGTCAGGTGAGTGTGATTTTATTAGTTCAGTCACCCCTGAAAAGCACACGAGAACGAAAATGTCAAGCTAAAAGTTTGTCTAAACCGTCTAAGAGTACTACGCCAGCAGTGCCATGGAAGTGAGCGCAGTTTCGAGAGCAGAGGCGGGGCTCTCGCTCCCGGCTGGGGCCGGCCCGGCACACCCCGCTCACCTGGAGGAGCCCGCTCCTCTCCGCCTCCGCCGTCCCGCCGCTCCCGGCCGCGGCTGCCTCCGTGCTCTGAGGCCTCAGCGCAGCGCTCTCCTCTTTACCCTTCTCCGGCCCACTCTCAGCTCTGGAGCTGCTCGACTTTAAGCCCCACTTGGCCATAATACGATCCTTGGCGGTCTTGGGGTTCATCTTTCGGCGCCTGTGAAACCCGAAGGCGGCGTCACGGAACAGCGATCCCTTCTAGCGGGCAGGACATGGCTTCCGACAGCTGGAGTCAAGCGCAGGGCTCCCCGGATCCTGCTGCCGGCTCCCGCTCCGTGGGACGGGACGGGGCCCGAGCACCCCAACCCACAGCCCGCCCGGCCCCGGCCCGGCGCCGCTTCCGGGAGTTTGAATCCCGCGGCCGCGGCCCGTCAGTTCCGGGGGTTTGGAGCTGGTGGCCGGGGCGGGCGGTGCTGCCCTCTCGTGTCGCGGCCCGGCCCTGCCTGTCCCCGCCCTCCGCCGCGGCGATGGCGGGGCTGGGAGCGCGGGGGCTGAGCGTGGAACACCCCCGGGGCCCGCTCGGTGCTGTCGCTTGTGTTTCTCTGTCCCGGTCCCTCCCTGAACGCACGTGGGTCAGATTACGTTGTTTCTCCTCCTGAAATGCTCCTAATCTACCCAAAATCTAATACTTTCAGAAATTCCGAAATAAGGTGGGATAGTTCTCTGTGATCACATAAGAACTAGGCTGAAGTGTGCTTACGTGTGACTCATCTTGCTCCATCTTGCCGTTTCCCCCTCATCCCTGCTGGGCACACGTGTTGCAGTGGCAGTGTGCACCTCGGGGGTTTTAACAACTGCTCCACAGCTGAGATAAACTTGCTGTAACGCTGAGCCCGGGGCAGCTCAGAGCTCTTGTGCCTGTCGTGTAAGTTTTACCTGGTTTCACGTTACCCAATTGTTAGTGCACATGTTTATGTTCAGACAAAACATATGCCTCCAAACAATACAGAGGGTGATACCATCTTTTTTTTTTCTCTTTTGTACGCATTTCCTTAATTATTTTGCAGTTTTAGTTATGCGTATATATTTTAATAATTTCTCAATAAATGTACTAAATCCAGCCTGTTCCGTGACGAAGCTGCAGCGTTTACTGTGCAATACATCGTTGTTCCAGAACGCAACGGGAGGGGGAGAACTTACACTGGTTTTGGGGACCAGCGCTAGTTTGTGACTGTAGGCTGACACGGAGGCAAGCCAAGAGCCTTTGCAAACAATGAAGTTCTGCGAATTAAGAGGGGAAAAAATATAAACCATCGTGAAATTTCATACCTTGGTATACCAAGATGAAGATTTGATATATCTTGAATACTAGGATCGTGTGTAATGTTTAGTGTTCATGTTGCTTAATGCTTACTCTTGCCTTAGTTTCTTACTAGAGATTTATCACACAGCTTCAGAATAAAAGCAACCAAAAAACCCACCTCAAAATAAATCTGCACTCGTTTTTGCACTGTGTCCTTTCTGTTACAGGATTTCATTAGCGAGAGCTCTTTTTTGTGCGGCAAACAGAACTTGGTGTCAATTTACAGGACTTTTTTTTTCCCTAGATTGAGTAGCTAGTCCGTCATAGATCCACCCATAGACCTTCTTTATTGTAAACCAGCAATTCCCTGCCTCCTCTTCCTGCTAGCATTTCAGTCCAGAAGTTAAGGAGTGTGAAACTGAAGACTTCCTCGAATTTATTTTGTAACAGTCGACATTTAGGCAAGACGGGAAACAATGCTTCGGGTAATTGTGGAATCTGCTACCAATATCCCTAAAACCAAGTTTGGGAAACCAGATCCTATCGTTTCTGTTATTTTTAAAGGTAAGGAAAACTGTCATAAATGTAGTCGGGGAGGAAGTTTTTTGTAACACAGTGCCCTTTGTAAGTATTTGAAAATCTGTGAAAACATGTTTTCCTGAAGCTATGTCTGATGCAGTTTTAGGGAAGAGTTTTTAATTAGAGAGACAGGAGTTACCTGAATGAAGTTTGAACTGGGTGGAGTGCATTGGTCTGTTCTGTCCAGCTGTGCTTCTGTTTCAGGATCCACATTTTACAAGCTTTTGCAAAGGCTTACCCTTTTGCTTTAGAAACACAAATCTAATTGCATAGATAAATCAATTTTCAATTCTGGTATTGAAGATTACCTTGTTTTCCGTCTAAAAAAACTTTCTTATCTTGATCACTTTGCAAAGCCACTGCTCACTGTTACAAACATTTTTATTGTGACTGGTTTATTTTTAGTAGTAGCATGTTGAAAAACAGTAATACCATTACTGAAGGTGTTTGTTTTTATTTTAGGTTTTGGGGTTTGTGGTTGTTTTTGGGTTTTTTTACAAACTAAATTGCACTTCAAAATTTTGCCTGTTGAGATTATTTAATTTAAAAATTTAGGAAGAAAAGCACATTTTATACACTTTCATTGCTTGTCAGTTATATATGGGATAAGAAGACTGTGATAAAATTAGCACTTATATGTAAAGCTAATTATATTTTACTTTAACTGTTGCCATCATTTCCTCACTTGGCTAGACTAGAGGAGCTTCATTTCATGCAATAATTTATCTTTAAGGTGCCAAAACCTCCAAGCAATTTTAGATCATGTAATACCTAAAACTGAAATGTGACAAACAGGCATCTTAATTCCTGGTGACCTGATTTCCTACATTTGTGTGGTTTTTACCCCCTTATGTGTTGGAACAAGTGGCAGAGACTGTCTCAGTAGCTTTTGGAACTTCTTAACTCTTAAAATATGATTTTACTTGCCCTGCAAAAAGTGATGATACTAAAATTTCTCTGCTTTGTACCATATTCTGCTACTTCTTAAGTATCCATATTCTCTTTTCAGTTCCTTGTCTTTTTTCTTTGTTTTCCTGTTACAGTTTTGCCTTTCTGTGTTTCCTCTCTTCCTGCAGTTTTATGCTCCAGGGTTGGTTTATGCCTCCACCTCTTTAAGTCTTCAGTGTCTGTTTAATCCCTCCTGGTAATCTTTTGTTCCTATTATGTGCTCTAATGTAGTTCACTTTTACCTAGTAAATATAAGTTAAAGATTTTTTTTTTCTGCATTGCTGGATTTGTTTTTCAGTCTTCCAGTTATCCAGATGCAGGAACTGGACAACAGACATTGAAGGAATGACTTTATATTTATATTCTTTACGTGCTATAACTGGGATTTTTAATGTTCACAAACATACTTAACCAGTGTCTCAAATACAACTTCGAAATTGTGACAGGTTTAGTAGGATATTTAATTTCTCATGCTGCTTCTATTTATATGGGTTTACTGCATAGCAGCAGTCTGATTTTTTGCTTTCTGTCCAGAGTGATTCAAGGGGGACAGAAAATATGCCAGCTGTTAAGCAGCTCCAAGTTAATTTCTGAGTGGAGTGCCTGTTTGCCAAATGCAAGGGCGTAGGGATCATATCAGAAATATGTTGAACTTCCGGCTGTTAATGTTTATAGATGTCTTTTTATATACACTGATGATTCCGTTCTCACCCTGTTAATGTGTAGAAATGGGAAAACAGTCTTATTTTGGGAAGATTTATGTCAAAGGGCATCGGTCTTTAACTTTAGTCCCTACCCAGTGAAGATCCTGGGGGACATAACATGTTTGGGAGTGCATTTTCTAGACTGGGAAAACCTCAAGCATTTGCAGGACTTTGGCTGTAGCCCTGCAGTACATTTTCATGTTCTTGTTTGACTTGGGGGTGTTCTCAGTGAAGTCTTAGTGAGCAGCACTCATTTGATGGAAAATTGCTGTGGAAGCTGACATTTCATTAAACAGTATTGTGTTCAAACTCTAATTTACAGAGCCTTTGCTGATGTCAGGTTCAGTAAATTTAAGGCTTCCATGAAATCACACAGTGTCTCTCAGGATAAGACCTTTGCAGCTGTGCTGTAAAGAAAAACCTTATGGTCCTACAACTGCTCATATGAAAGTGACTGCAAAGGTTTTACATATGAAGACACATAAATTAATACACTTTCATCTATGAATAGGATAGACTTCATCAAATTACAATCAATTCAGTTAATACAGTGATTTATATTAACTTCATATTAAAAGGAAATAGGCAACTGTTTCTGTTTTGATATCTTACAATAGAGGGGTTTTGTGCAAACATTTGACTCTTTTTTTCACACATTTATGTTCAGTCCAAAGGGATGGAACTTTTATTTACTTTAAGAACAGCTCACTTTTCAAAGAGAACTACACCCTGAGAGTAAACTAATATCGCTATCTGGAACTGGGTGCTTTTCTTGCAGAATTCTGAGTTCATCACTCAGCATGAGACAAATTATTATTAGTCCAATTAATACGAAAGACTGCTACCATTTCCTAAAATGGCACTAAGTGGTAATGATTAAATCAGTATAATTGTTTTGGTTTGTTAGATTCTTGTCTTAGGGTGTAAAAATTTACTCCGTTGGTTATATGTGCAGTCAATATTAGGGCATTTAGTGCTTTGATCATTCCTTTTGACTGCCTCATTGCAATTTATGCATTTAAAACTGAGGTGAAATGGCATTTAGCTTGGTTGGACCAACTAGAGTAAAATTTCTTTTTCCATTTGTGTTTAATCTAAGAGCTTTCCAGCAGGCCTGCAACAGTGCATAGTTATGTTAGTTTATATTTGAGTGTGTGAGAGAAAAGAGTTTTAGAGTACATTTATTCACTAAATTTATATTTTCTGTTTTGCAGAGAATTAAATTAGCTACATTGGGGTTTGGAGATTTTTGGAGATCTGCCCATTTGATCTGGCAGTTGCTGCCACTATGCAGTCTTAATTCTCCTTTCACAAAAGCTTTATGGAAAACTTAATTAACTGAAATATGATTGTCTCTTGCATCTAACACTTAGGACTGTTATAAAAGATAATGTTTGCTTCTGCTATTCCCCACCTGCTGAAATTGATTAAAATGTGATTTATGATAGAAGAAAATATTTAAGATGGAAGCATTGGTTGTTTTGCAGAATTGTAATTATCTTTCTAATGATGAAACAGTTATTATTTAAACAGTTATCATTTTTAAAAATCTTGAGAATATTGACCAGCATGTGGAAGTTTAACACCTTGATGAAGATAAGGCTAATAGTGATTTCTTCTACACTACCACAGCTATTGTAATTAAAGAAACAAATGTATAGAGTCTCCTACCTGTAGCCACTATAATTTCTTGTTTCTTGGTAGGGCCAAACTAAAAATGATGGCTGGCCATATCTTACAGTTTATCCTTAGGTAATTCCTAGGCTTTGCTATATAGCTGGAATAATTAGAAGCAGAGGAAGAAGCCTGAGCACTTGGAATAACTGTGCAGT